CAGTCCCATTTCTAGCTTTTTGCTGGTTACTGGAGATAAGAGTCTCATGTACTTTCCTGCCTGGGCTGGCTTCAAACCAGGATCCTCAGATTTTTAACCTCCTAGCCTGAGTAGCTACTTCCAGCTTTTTGTTGTTTAATTGGAGACAGGAATCTTTCCAATTTGTCTTCCTGAATTGGGTTCAAACTGAACTCCCCATTTGAGGATTTCATACTGAGTAGTAGCTAGGTTTGAGTCCCTGGTACATAGACTGAACATTTTTGGTCAGAGGTTTGTTGAATCTATAGATAAAGAACCTGTGTTTTCAGAGGCATGACTGTACTATCTATGCACTGATATACCTTGGGCTTTTTTGACTAAGCTAATATACTGGAAAAGGACATGCTGCTTCCTAATGTATTTTGAGCTACATCCATTCCACTTCATCCACTGAGAGGACATACCTCAAATAATTACTGTAGCCTTTTTTTTTTGAGGAGGGGTCCGGTCATGGGCCTGAACTCTGGGCCTGGGCGCTGTCCCTCAGCTCTTCATCTCAAGGCTAGCGCTCTACCACTTGAGCCATAGCGCTACTTCTGGCTTTTTTTTTCTGCTTATGTGGTGCTGAGAAATCAAACCCAGGGCCTCATGCATGCAAGGCAAGCGCTCTACCACTGAGCTACCCTCCCAGCCCCATACTGTAGCCTTTTACTTGAAATGAAAAGTCCTTTTTTCCTAAGTTAAAGTTAATGACAATAGTGCTATAAAATGACAGAGATTTAAAAAAAAAAAGAAGGAAAGGAGCCAAGGCACTCGTGGTTCACGCCTGTAATCCTAGTTACTCAGGAGGTTGAGATCTGAGGACCTTGGTTGGAAGCCAGCCCAGACAGGAAAGTCCATGAGGCTCTTATTGCCAATTTACCACCAGAAAACCAGAAGTGTACTGTGGCTGACGTGGTAGAGTGCTAATTTTAAGCACAAAAGCTCAGAGACAATGCCCAGGCCAGGAATTCAAGCCCCATGCCAAAAAAAAAAAGAGGAAGCAGAATGGAAGAGCAGTGAGTTGTCTACCTCGCCGGTGCTCTGTCTTCTTTCATACTGAATGGGCATGATATAGCTTAGAATTGAGAGCTGGTCCATGGTGTCTTCCAGGATGGCAGAGATCCTCAGCATGTCTAGAAGGCAGAGTGGTTCTACGACTTCTGAGATGATTCCTTCTTCTACTTCTTCATTATCTACTTCTTCTACTTCCACAGCAGTCGGTGGTTCACCTGTCACCATCACCAACTCTGAAGGCCAGGCTCTGGGAGGAAACTCTGAGGACATGGCTGGTAGTTTGTTTCTAAGGAAAGAAAACAACCAAACAAAAAGAAGTTAGTGACCAATGCTTAAATAAAGCACGGCAAGCATGTAGCTTGGCTCCCACGAGGTTTATATTGTCAATAATATAACCTAGATAAAAAACAAAAGTAGAAGAATGCCAAAAGTTCTGCTGTACATGGGTGCTGATAGCTCATGCCTGTAATTCTAGGTACTCAGGAGGCTGAGATCTGAGGATCACAGTTCAAAGCCAGCCTGGGCAAGGAAAGTCTGTGAGACTCTTATTTCTAATTAACCATCAGAAAACTGAAAGTAGTGCTGTGGCTCAAGTGGTAGAGTACTAGCCTTGAGCTGAAGAGCTCAGGGACAGCCCAGAGTTCAAGCAGGACCAAAAAAAAAAAAAAAATTTCTGCTGAATACCTTCCTACCCAGCAATTTATTGTTTAACAAACTTATATAGCCTGTGCTATTTGGCTATGTTAACCAATTTTAATTTAAACCAAAATTAACTTTGTGTGTGTGTGTGTGTGTGTGTGTGTGTGTATGCTCGTCCTGCGGCTTGAAATTAGGGCCTGGGCACTGTCTCTCAGTTTTTGTGTTCAAGGCTAGCACTCTAATACTTGAGCCATAGTTCCATTTCTGATGTGTGTGTGTGTGTGTGTGTGTGTGTGTGTGTACATGTGTTGTGTGTTTATTACTTAATTAGATATGAGTCTCATGAACTTTCCTGCCTGAGCTGGCTTCACACCATGATCCTCAGCCTCCTGAGCAGCTAGGATTACAGGTATGAGTCACCAACCTTGCTTCTTTTAGGTATTTATGCACCTGTCTAGTTCTTCCCCCCCCCCCACATTAAGCAGGACTAACATATGCAACCACATGGGATACCAGGGGATAACAGAGTGTGACCCCAAAGCTAGGTGATAAGAGATGGCGCTTTCTGTCCTAGTATCTCACAATCTTCACTCTGGGGGAACAAGCTGCTTTGTCAGCAGGACAACAAAGCAGCCTTGGGGAGACATCCTTGAGAGTGCAGAACTAAAGGCCTCTGGACAGCACAGCCAGCACCAGCAATGGCCAGCTCTGTAACCTTCTTGGAAGTAGATCCTTGAGTTCCTATCAAGTCTTCATATGATTCCAGTCACCAACTAACTTCAACCTTAGAAGATTCCAAGACTCTTCATAAACTCCTAACCTTCAGATATTGTATGAAACAATTGTGTTTTAAACGATTCAGGTTTGGGGCAATTTGTTACACAGTCATAGATAAATAATTCATGAAAAGTTAACAGATGTCATGATCACACACACACACACACACACACACACACACACACACACAAGCAGAGTTGAGCTGAGATATAAAGATTGAGGTTTGAAGCCAGCATAGACAAACAAATCCATGAGACTCTTATTTCCAATTAACCAGCAAAAAGTCAGAAGTGGAGCTGTGGCTCAAGTTTAAAGCGGTATCCTTGAGCAAAAACGTTAAGAGACAGTGCTTTGGCCTTAGTTCAAGTTCAAGCCCTAGTACTTTTCTCCCTCTCCTCCCTCCCTCTCTCTCTCTCTCTGTCTCTCTCTCTTGCTCTCTCTGTCTCTCCCTCTGTCTCTCTCTCACACACACAGGGATTTTGAACATACTCTCCCATTTTTCTTGAGTTAGTATTGCTTCTCTCTGAGGTATTTTGTTTTTGTTTTTTTTTTGTTTTGTTTTTTTGGGTCCAGTCGTGGGGCCTGAACTCTGGGCCTACGCGCTGTCCCTCAGCTCTTCAGCTCAAGGCTAGCGCTCTACCACTTGAGCCACAGTGCCACTTACGGCTTTTTTCTTTTTG